TTTTTTTTTTTTTTTTTTTTTTTTTTTTTTTTTTTTTTTTTTTTTTTTGTAGCCTGCATATGCTGTACTTTGTAGTCATCTCTGGTCAAGCTTTCATATACAGCATGGAGCTAATGAATTACTTCTGTATTCAGTCACTTAGACTTCATGAATCAGTCATCTCCTCCTGAAAACTGCTCTGGTCTGGATCTTTAACTAGCGTAAATTAGCACTGTGCCAAGAGAGAATTGAGGTGATACAATACTGTACAAAAGTCAAGGACCCAGTTCTGTATTTCTGTCGCACTGTTATATATTGCTGTTTATAAATGCTACAGATCCTAAGGGTTATATAAAGTAGATAATCTACAAAAACAAATTTATTTTTTTCTTCTTATTTATGAAAGCTTTCCCCTTTGTTGGCAAATCTATTGGCCTAAGACAGTACCCTGTGAATTGTGCGATTTGAGTAATGCTAATTTAAGTGATTTGTGTTTATACTTTAGGAAATAATAAGAAATATAGAGATTGGAACACTTTTTTTTTTTTTCCATTAGCATAATCTTTGTTTCTAAAACTTGTTATGAACCTACTTTCTCCTTTTCTAGTAACAACAGTCTACTTCAAACCACAGGCTTTTATTCCTTGGAAGCCTTTTTCAATTCTCCAAGCAACGAAGTTAGAATGCACCTTTGTTGAACCTCTGGTGTGTAACACACCAAGCACAAAACCATGGCAGTGCTAGTAGAGTTAGCCAAGAAAAACAGAAATACAGAGGGAAGGAACCAAATAGAGATCCCCTATGTATCCTGTTCTTGCCTTTAGGCAAAAGTACTGCAAGCTGCTTTGATACCTCCATAACAGTGTGTATGAAATATCTCATGTAGGGCTGGGCTCAAGCCTAGTCTCTGTTCATTTAAATGTCTAAATATCATAAAAAAGCAAAGACATTTAATTGCTGGAGTATCTAAGAAAGTATTTGCTCACTATAGTTTCTCTGATAGCAAAGTTCCTGCCATGGGAAAGCCCCTGCTCCCCCCTCACGTCCAGAAGGCTGCTGCTGGCAGCCTTTTCTCCTTCCCTTCTTCCCCATCCCCAGGCCCTGCTGCCCTCCCCTATTTTTGCCTATTTTATTTCTTGTATGTGGTCCAAGACATAAGATAATCTCTGACATCTTGCTGTACTATTCCTTGAGGACCATCATCTCCAAAACCAGCATTACTAAGGAATCCATTTTCCCTCTGTGTTAGTGGTCACCTGCTGCAACTTCAGCATTAACCTGAATGTCAGGCATTCTTGTGGCAGGGGAGAATGGGAGGGTGGGATAGAATAGGGTCAGACCTTTGCCAGAGAGGTGTGTGTTTGTTTGAAGACTTAAGGAAACTGAATACTGGGATTGCATTCCTCCCAACTTTCTGGAGGGGAATATTAATATCAGTAAGAGACCATTGCTTCAGGGAGGGGACTGGAAATGTTAATAGTTATTGGTCCAAATTCTCTCTCACTGGACTCCACAGACATTACTAAACTTAATCTAGGGAGGAATTTTGTCCACTGGGTTCAATTTAAGGGTGTAATATGATGCAGTGTTGGGGAAAAAAAACCCCACATCTATTTGGTGAATGTATTTTTGGGACGTGTCTGCTAAGTTCAGAGAGTTTGAAGTTCATTTTTGTTCACATTAGTGTGACCACAGCTGGAATGTCATCCTCTCTTTTGGTTTCAACAGTTACAGAAAGGGCAGGATGCAACCAGAGAGTCAAAATAAGGCTGATGATGTGAGGATCCTGAGGATCCATCCTGTAAGGAGAGACTTGGAGGACTTGGGGAATTGAATTCGTGCCATTTACAGTACAGGTGGCAAAGAGGGTGCACATCCACACTCTAAACACGAGAGTTATGCTGACATTAAAGTGAAACAACAGCATAAAGGCATCAAGGTAAGGAATTAGAGGATGGCTAAAACTTGAATTTTAGGTAAAAATTTTATGGAGCAGAAAAACTTGATGTATGTTGAGTCCCATAAACCTCAGTTTGTCAGGATAGTCTTCTGATACTGGAGCCAGAATTAAGTAGAGGTGAATCTGATGGACACTGTTCCTCAGTGTGTAGTACTTTCAAGTGAAATTTAGCAGGTGTTTCTTTTTTTCCTACGGGACTATATCCCATCAACCTTACTCGATCAAATAGTCTCCCCCAAATTGGGGGGACAACCTTTGTGAAAAGGCAGAACTACTTATTCTACTGGTGGCACAGACCTTTCCTGATATATAATGGCAAAGAAACAGAGGATTTATGGCTGTAATATCATCTGACTTCTGTATCCAAAATTTAAAACATGAAGGATAAAATATGCTCTCTCTGTTGGAGAAAAAAGGCAGAGGAATTACATTCTTGGCATATACGTTGGAAATGGCAGCACTGGTGAGATTATATCTGTTATCTTCAAAATTGCTTTAAACCAGAAGCTTGGGTAACAAAGGACAGAAGTTACTTTCATATTAGCATATACGTCATGTTTAATCAATCAAAAGAGAACTGTAATTACTTTACTCTCTTCTTAGCTAACTTTAAAGAAAGGAAGTCATGAACCTATAAAGTAAATGTCATCCTGTTTAGATAGTTATAGTTTTATAGGTAATTTGTTGCAGATTTTATGCAGATAATTTATAATTATTTCCTTTCATGCTCATCTCTTAGCCTGGAGTCCGGTTTTTACACAAACATAAGGACTGCAGATGCAGGGAAAGTATCAATGAAATTACCTAATTTTTTTCCCAGATTTGGTGCACACATTTACAAGTTTATCAGCCACTGTGCGGCTACTGAACTTGGCAGCAGTTTGAGCTGCATATGCAATATCAAAGCAAAAAATCAAGTGGTGGTAATAATTAGTAGGCTTGGTTAGATGACCTATGGCTTTCAGGAGGTATTTGCATGAGACAGAATTAGTCTCTTCTTTCAGCCTGAGCCTTTGGTGTCACTTTGTGTTGGATACTTTGCAGTAGGTGGTTTGCAGTACATCACGCTGCTGCTGTGAAGGAAACAAATTGCACAGTCAGTTGAGCCGGGCACTTCAAATTGTCAAATGTGTTGAACTGCACATACAGCAGCAAGATGACTGTGTTTGAAAATAGTCTCAAATTGCCACAGCTGCTTGCCTTTAGCTTGTTTCCCACCACAAAATAGTCTGTATTTTCTGCTTCATGGGTAAAACCCCGGTGTTGGAAAAACTCTGAAGTAGTCCTGGGAAGCAAAACAGAATGTGTATTTACACAAGACAAGATTTGTTACAATTGCTTGCTGGCATTATAGGATAATTTAGTTTTCTTTTGCTCTTTCGAAACCTCTTATAGAGTAAAGAGGCAGAACACTAGTATTCTTAAATATTTTAAAACATTAAGCCAAAATGTGGATTTGATTTGTTATGAGTATTGGCAGTCTGACTGTTGACCATGCTTTCTCTTCCAACCTGCAATAAATTCAACAAAAAATATATTATTTCATCACTCACCAAACTGGAATGATTAAAATATGCACCAGGGGAACACTCCCAGCAGTGAGAGATACCGATTAGACTCTAAAGCATTGCATGTCCTTTACATTGCTGAGACCCCAAGCACAGCAATCCCAGGGAGGGCTGGCTAATAATATGAATGCTTCAGAGCTGGAGAGCTGGCATCTCGATCTTCAAGGGCCAAATGCCAACACAAACCTATCAGACTAGTAAGATGAAGGTAGCATACAAGTAGCAGTGATATAGCACTCTGTCCACCTGCCTCTGCCCCCTTGGTCTAAAACACTAAATAGGTATTTACATCTGGGTTGATTAGCAAAACCTTTGCCATGAGTCTGCAGTGAGGCTTAAACTTCTGTTTCTGGATCCATAGGGAAAAATGCTTAACCAGCTTTAACCTCTCTGCAACAGCTCCCTTCAGGCTGTTATGAAACATGAATTCATCTGACCTCTTCAAGGTCTGTTTATATCTTCCTGTCTGTGAGATCCAGTCATTCCTTCCTTCAGCCTGCTGCAGACAAATGAATATCTCATGGTACTGTCATATAAAAAGCTACTTAAAACGTTTCAAAGCCAAAAGGGCTGCTAGTTTATACTCTTTGAAAAATCAACACAGTGTCTAAATAGCTCCATAATACAGAAGGCTTCTACTACTAGGATTTATTTCTTTCCAGCTTGGTGGGTTTTTTATTCTTTTTGACCAATATGTTATCTCAGTTAACAGTATTTTTCATTTCTATAGTAGTAAGGATTAACTTCCAGCCAGAAAATGATTCAGCTGTATGTCCAATTCATTACATTATGGGACTGATTTGTCAAAAGTATTAAACTCTAAAGTCCAAGAGCAGCACATGATACCTGGGAGTCAAACATACATGTGCAATAGGTCTGGTGGCCAAATGCAAGAAACCAGCATTGGCAACACGGAAAAAGATCATGGCCCTATCCACCAGCTTCCAAACAACGGATTATTGCCAAATACAGGGCTGGACTGTGAATGAAATTATTGAATTTTGCAGCTATTGTGCTTTGACCTTGACAATAGGAGCCAGGAGAGGTGGATCCTGTGCTTGACCCTGCTGGGGGCCATTTATTATTGCTCCACTCCAGTCTTCTGCACCACCTCTGCACCAAGCCTGAGCTGCGAGTGCTCAGCAATTCTGCAAACTGGGCATAGATTGTATCTTTTTGTGTTACATTTGCTGGACAGAGGTGATTAGGCTGATGTCTATCTGGGTACTGATATGCTGGATGGGAGAGGAGGAACGTTGAATCTAGGTTGCCTTGACGTGATGATAACAAAACAGGAATAAAGGCAAAGGACAGGATAAAAATATAAGGCAGGAGTAAAGTGTGTTTCTATTACAGGAGGGTAAGAGTGTGAATGTGCAACGAGGTCCTTCCTTTCCTACCTTTGAGCATAAATCTATCATTCTGGTCCAGTCTAGGCTGAGTAATTGAAGAATGCTAATGAAATATTTTGAGAACTGATGGGAGGATGTAATGAATAATTCCACACATTGTTAAGAGGACAAGATTGTTGAATTAGAAATAGTCCAAATCTAAAATTTGGGAAGGGTGGAAGTAAAAGTGAAGCTTATCTAAGTTTACCATAGTGTGAGGAGATAGAGTGGTTGGAGAAACCATGAGAAGCTGTGAGAAGAAAACAGGTTAGAAAAAAAGAAAGGTTGAAGAGGTAAGAAGGAGCAAAGTGAAGGAAGGAAAAGTTATCAAAAGAAAATACAGATATGTGGGGGAAAAAAAGGCAGAAGGAAGAGGGAGAGTGAAAGCTCTATATGATGAGGAAGGAGAAGGTACTGGTATATGTGGCAAGGAATGCTGGGCAGAGCAAACCCCTGGAGCCTCCTGGCTGCTCCTAGACCATCAACCACCCCGACTCCTGGCGTCTGTGTCCACAGGACTGTCTTAATTTCATTTGTTATCCCCCTTCTATCAACAGTCTATCACCAGTCTTAAAGAGCACTCAACATCTTTAAAATAATCAATAAAATTCAAGACATAACAAAATTTGAGGAAAAAATGGAGTTAAAGTGGGATAATTCAATTAGTAGCAAAAATTGCTAAATAACCAAGGACTCAGAAATTTTACAAATACTTAAGAACCAAGAATGCAAAAAAATACCATGCTGATTACTTATATATTCAATATAACCCCACATATATATTTAGCTTAGGTACAATGACATCATTATCACCTTTAAACTTATTTATATGTAGTAATTGTCTCTTGTAAAAATCTGTTGTACTACCTTAAAACAAACCTATTGACTCTAACTTGTGGATTATTAAGCATGAATAGTGAAGGTCCTCACAATAAAAGAAGCATTATTTGAATACAGAAAGTACTTCAAATATTTTTTATGTCTTTTTTTGTTTGTTTGTTTTCTTTTGTTTTCTTTTTTTTTTTATTCCGGTTGTGCTTTTTTGACTAGAATAGCTTCTTGAATTCTTCCACCATTTTACATCTTCCCCTGCTATAAATCTATACATTTTTATATTTTCTACAATTTCTTTGGGGGCTGTTTCCTTTGTAACATATGAGAATATTTTAATTTGGTTTTCTCTCCATTCCAATCATTTGGGGTTAAATTTTCTCTAATAGCCTAATCCCAGTCCAAATAAGTTTAATGAGAAAACTCCAATGTGATAAAATGGAACCACATTTTCCCTCTTAAGCCCACACAGCAGACTTTTCTGGCATAATTGTGTCGTTCAAGGGTAGAATGAGGTGTGATCTGTGACTGGCATAAGCAAAATCTCTCTAAGTCGATGCAGGTAAACTGGCAAAAATACCCCATAGTCATTTCCATCTTACTTTGTTTGGCAAGATGAGAAAAGTTATAGCATCAGCAGTGGCATCTTGTTGCTACAAGTTGCTTTTCCAGTATAATGGAAGGATATTTCTATTCCAGAAAGGCCTCCTAAGTGTGGGCCTGGACTGAATTACGCTCATGTAAATCGAGACTAATTCCAATGCAGTCATGCAACAAAGGCCATGTTCACTCTTGGTGTCTGCCTGTGAGCTGGAAGGTTGGCTGGAGGAAAGGCTGCTGCAACTCCCTGTGCTCCCTGAGCAGAAATAAGTCCCCTGCTCTCCATCCAGGCTGCTGTAGCTCTTGCTCAAGAAGACATGGTGTTCACCAGGCGTCCAAACTCCCCAAGTGCAGAGCCAAGGCACTCCAAGTGACAACCTCTTACAGGCATACCCGTCTCACGTGCTTTCTGTTATGCCTGTTTTCTTTGATCTCCTCTGCCTGCAACAGAGGAGGAGATCAAAGAAAAGCTGAGCTCTGCCTCTTATCTTTGCACTCCTGTGTCTTCTCTTTCCTTTTTTCTCTTTATTTCTGACAATTTTAGGGGAAGCGAGACACAGAGGGAGCTCTGCTGTACAAACCCCAACCTTCACCCATACCAGCCCAGAGCTGCAAGGAAACTCTTGCACTATTGCCTGAAGCAGGTGACCTCCAAAAAATGCTGGAGGTGGAGAAAGTGAAGTTTCTTGGTTTACTTTCACAGGAGCAGTATCTCAACTCCTATCAAGGACATCAGGGTGCAAGAGAGCATTTAATAATGCTGTAGGCAGTTCCTTCTGAAGAGTCAACTGTAGACCTAAAAAGTCCCACTGATTTAGTAAGTGAGTGCAAAGCCTGTGCTTTTCTAGAGTAATAAAAGAACTTCTGAGCTAATGGTATTACACTTGCAAAAAAAGCAGAAAATACAGTCATGCTAAATAGCAGCTGTTCTGTGACAGCTGGAGGAGACCTAACCAAAGCCAAATCAGTTCAGATTTGTCAATGTCAACAGTGTTTTGCCCTTAACTCTCATGCTTTATACATCTTTTCATATGTCTTTTCTCATTAGCCACATGGAAGAGACATTATTATAACATTCCTACCTAGACTGTCTTGATCTTTCGAATTGTCCATTATCCATAACTTCTGAGTGAGAGAAATTACTGGAACTTAAAAAAAAAAAAAAAGCTTACAAATCTTGTTTTCTGCTTTGAGGTTCTGTATGCTCACAGGACTGATCCTCTCTTCAGTTTTTCCAGGACTGGGGCTGTTTGAACTTCATTCATTTCCCCTAAAACCTCCTGACTTGAGGAATGTGTGTCTGCATATCTCTACAAGTAATGTCTTAGCTCTGGTACAGGGGATGCATCAGAAGTCTGATTGCCCTCACCTGCTGTGTTTTAGGTCATAACACGGAGGACACGAACTGGAATTCTGTTGGTGGGAGCTCATCTGGAGGAGGCAGTCCAGGAGGCCAAGCACATTCCAAACACTAATTGCAGTCACTGCCCAGAGGAAAAGCTGAATGGTGGACATTCAGCTCACAGGAATGGTACAAAGCCAAACCTCGCAGTCACCTGGTGTTCTCTGACAGCCACCTGTTCCTCTCTGCAGATCTGCTCCTATTGCTCCACAATGACAGCTCAGAGCCCCAGCACTCTTTATCTGAGAGTCTCAGTTCCTCCTAAGTGGCAGAGCATCATTTCTGAATGTCAGCTTCTTTCTGAATATGCTGGGCTCTGCATTTTAATATTAATGACTGGTCTCACTTTGGGTTTTTCTAATGCTTCTGGGTTCATCAGGTCAATTTCAGGATCAAGAGCTGCATAAAAGTTATACTTTTTTAGGAATAAATTAACCAGCACATTAAAAAACAAAACAAAACAAAACAAAAAAAAAATCAAACAAAAAACCAAAACCAAACCAAAACAAAAACAAACAAATGAACAAAAAACCCACACTACATTAGTTTGTGCTGGTGAAGGATCCAAAACAGAACTTCACCACCTTTGCAGTTATATGAATAAGCTTTTAAAAGATGACTGCTTGTCGGAGAGCTGGGATGCACATATTAACAGATTTTTTTCTCTCCAGTGTACTGCTTTCATATTTTCAGTGGCAAATGAACTGAGACTTAAAATGAATGAGCTGTTTAAGAGTGACATGTCTCCCCTTGCACCTGCATATGTTGATGGCTATCAGTGGAGCTCCGTAGCCAGAGTTTCTGTAGCTCTGATTCTTGTACCATGATCATTTTCTTTAGTAATGCATTTAGAAAGCACTAGCAGCCTACCAGTGCTGCCACTCAGCATAGCAATTCCTGCTAACCCTGAGACATCCTTGTTTATTGACTTCATTGTTCTTCAGAGCAAACAAGCATCATGTGTAATTCTACCAATCTTATTTATCTTGATTTATGTGATTATGCATATGGTGCTAATTCTTGCCTTCAGCTGTGTTTGTTCAAATTACACACCCTTCCCTTAAAAATGCTATTGTACCTTTGGAGATTGATCTCTTTAATTCCATGTTTACATCCATTTTCATGCTGTTCAGTTGACTTCCTTTTTATATTTCTAGAGCAGGAGCACTTGCTATACACATATACACACGCCTTGAATTTATCTTGCTATCATTGTCTGTCTTTTAATACTCTTCCTGAATTTTTTAATCTGAAATATGAATAACAATTTAATGCCTTCTGGAAGGGGAGAAGGGCTTCCATAAAAAATATCATATTGTATGAGTTGCATGGCAAAAGGATTTGTGATTTGAATTATTACTGAACCTCGCTGAGTATCCTTTCATAATCATTTGCATTTATAGTGCTATAGGAATAGGGACTTTATGTAACAGCTATTGCATCAGAACCCTGTGGTTTTGCGGTGGGCTGTGGAAGTCAAAATACTGGACTAGTTCAGCCCATTAAGGAGGATTCTTTGAAAACATTCTGACAGCCTTAATCAGGTTTTTTGTTTTGTTTTGTTTTTATTTTTAAAGATAAACTCATGCTTCCTCTCGACATCTGTCAGCAGTTTGCTAACCAGCAGGTATTGGCCCTCACTGGTCAAATTCTTCAGTCAGTTTTGTTTCTCTGTCTAAGCTTGTACACACCTAGGACAGCTGTGTGTGTTACACTTGAGTTTCAGTCTCTCAGGTAATAAAGCATTTGTGATCTAATTTCAAGAACAGCTGAGATGACAAATCCTCTGCTTATCTTCTAAATTCTCCATGGTCCTGTGTGTTCACTCTGCACTTAATTCAGTTCCTGAAGGTTTCAGTGACAAAACTCTTAGAGCTTGTGAAGGAAAACATCCACAATTGCTTCCTTGTTTCCAGTGGAGGTAGGTCCTCAGATGGTTGTCCTATGGAGTAATTCCAACTCCACATCTTCTCACCCTCTCTCTCTCTATCCAGTAAACCTGTTGACATCTTAGTTATGTGTCTTCTCTTACAGTTTATGTTCAATGAACTATTTTCCATTTATTAGAAGACTTTTTCAGTGTTGTTGCATCCTTTGAGATTTTCTGTCAGAGTGATCCAGGCTTTTTTTTTTTCCAGTGCATATAGCTTATATTGGATTTAATGAAATGTGTGTCATTTAAGTAACCCAGATCAGCACCATATAGCACAAACATTCTTATGTTTGTAAAACATAGTTTGTTAACCAGGCATCTTACCAGTTACACCTTTGCTAATGAACATACCAGGAAAGCTCTCCCAGTTCCTCATCTGGCAGGTTTTGGTGTCTACCTTGATAATATTTGTAGAGTGTTAGAATAAAGGAACATCAGGGCAGGGAACCATGACTTTGGTAATGGTCATATGAACCAGTAGTCAGATTTTAAAAAAAAAAAAATTGAAAACTGAAAACTTTGGACTCAGCTTTCATTTTTCCAGTAGTCATTTCTTCTCACATTTCTTTTCACTTTTTTTTTAAATTTTTAAATACTTAGGTAAACAACTATTTTACTGGAAATGAGATAAATTGGAAAATTTTTAGTAATCTTGACAATTAATGGTATTGCTTAAGAAAAGGGTTCTTCAGCCTCAGTGAATACATCCCCAGAACACATTAATTGCACATTTACAATCACACTTAGAGGACCTGCCCATTACCAATCCTTGGCCTGTTTAGTATGGGTACAATAATACAGGCTATACAAGCAGATGGTTTTTACTAAATTAGAATGTAAGAGGGGACTACATCGGTTTAGCCTCAGTGAAATAGATAATTACTTTCATTTTAACATTTCTTGTGTTGTCTCATGTTGTGTGGTGTTGCACAGTTATGATAAGATGCGTTTTGTTTGCAGAAAGTCTTGGAGCTCGCTTCACTCTTGGGGCCGAGGTAGGAGAGAGATTTGATGTGAGTATCCCCTGTGCAGCTGGATCCGCAGGAAGAGCCCTGGAATTTTAGGGAGTCACTTTAGCACTTCCCCCACCCTACTTTTCAGCAATAGAAAACCCAAAAGCTGCAAGAGGGAGAATCTATCTTCCATCTCTGCTCTTTCCTGTATTTTCTCCTACTTTTCTTCTGCCTTGTCTCCAAAAAGCCTGTGTTCTACGACACGTATCTCTTGTGCTGATGTGCTAGAAGGCAGAGCTGTTGGTTTGTTGGGGTTTATGAAGGGGATGGAAGATTGCTCCTGTCTCTGATCATTTTGCACCAAACTGCAAATGCAGGGGAAACCTCCCTCAAGGAAACAGTGAAAGGGTTCTGTGTTGTGAGCATTGTGTCTGCAGCTTTCCTCTCATGAGTAGCCCAGCTGAAGTCAACGCAGGCACAACTTACACCCATGTTAAGCATTCACAGGATCAAGCAGGATGAAGACAAAAAAGCAGACAAAGCAAAGGGGAGCGAGTTAGACGTACAAGTGCAGTGGTCAGGGTGATGATAGGCACACATGTTGTTAGTTCCTTTCCCCCTCCCTCCTGCCAACCACTAAAACAAGCAACATGTGATAGGGGGAGGAGAGGGGTAAAAATCTGAAACTGTACTGGAAAAACCCCCACCCATCTGTAATAGATTCATATTTCATAGGTCTTGTGTAGGCTTCATTTATACTCTTGGAATTAATTCCTCTCTATTAAAGAGCCCTGTGGTCCATTCTGCTCCATTTCAGCAGAGTGGAAAGAGGTGGCAATAGTCTGAACTGCAGAGCACTGCAGTCTCCTCATTTAGGGAGAGAGAAATATTTCTTTTGGCAAGCAGAGGTGTGCCTGTGCTCCAAGGTCTTAGGTGTACTTAGCAAGGATGGATCAGTAATGATAACTACATTTGAATTTCGTAAGATGGTTCAGCTTTACAGTAGGTGTTTCTCAGATTTGGAGCAAAAGCAAATATGCTTTCAATTTCCAGTGAAAATGAATTCTGAGAAAGATCCGTTTTAGTCAATTCTCATTTCACAATTTTGATTTAACAATTTTATTTTACTTCTACATCATCTGTAAAGCCTTCCAGGAGCATATTACTGGCACGATACATCTGGTATAATATCACTGAAATCTTCCTTTTTTAAAGTCTTAGTTTAAAGGATATTCTTATTCATTACTGCTAAAAATCATCTTCACCTCCTTTCCCAGATCAAACTCTCTCTTGTTTTGTAGTAAGACAGTAGAAGAACAAGTACTTGACTTCACAAGTAAGTTTCTCTTTACACTTACAGAGTATAGCTTTAGTATACAATTTTGTGGAGTGAGAGAACATTAAAATTTTAGTAGCTTTATTCTGAAACAAGGCTTCAAGCACAGATGTAAATAATTCAGCACTTGAAAGCTCCAGTATGGCATAATAGTTTCTTTTGTGCCTTGAATTTGTATAGGTAGACATGAAAGCAGATATTAAGAGGCTCTACCCACAGCAGTGTCACCACGAGGCTGAGCAGTGGTAGGTGAGCCACGGAAATTCCCTGTCTGGTTGTCTGTAAAATGGGGATAAGCTATTCATTTCTCTGGAATGCTGTGATCCTCAAATAACGGATGATGTGAACATCTCTGTTGAAATACTGCATCATTAATTTTCCATTGCTCTTTTTCCAGCATTTGAAGACATTTAGATCTATGATGGTTCAGACTTTAAAGCTACCAGCCGTACTGCAATAACTGGTTTCAATTTCTCTAAAAAATCTTCTTTCCTACCTTCTTTCAAAACTTTTGCAACTTGAGCCTCATATGCATTCTTACAAAAATAATTGATTATGTTTCCTGTGTTTTGCATCTTCAAATAATGTCAGACCATATTCAATAATTAATTCAAACCCAAGAAGAGTTCTCTGTCCCCTTTGTATTTTGGAAGCAGGTTCCTGGATGTTGTGCTGTGAGATATAGACCAGGAGTCTTGACTGCTCTGTCACTCACCCAGGCAATAACAGCTTTGATCCCCTTGAGAAAATAAAGCAGAATTCAGAACTGGAAGTTTTTGACAATAATTTTGTACAAAAGTAAGGGAGTATACAGTGACCACAGTTCTTAAATTGCTGGGTTAATGCAGTCTTCACTCCATATTTTAAGCATTCATTTCAATCTGAAATGACATAAGACAGTTGGTGGACTTT